GTTAACGACATTCAAATCCTTTCTTACGCTTAAGTCAACACCACGCGCAGGCTTCCATGTAACAGCTTTCAACTGCCGGTTCACTACGCGGTGCTTGCAGTAATCAACATATATAGTCAAGTCGCACACATCAGTCCGTATAAAAAATATATATATATTTCGTAAGATACTTGTCAAACAAATGTTTCCAAACTATTTCGATCAGCAGATTGTCAAGACCGTGATATATGTGAAAATTCAATCGGTAATAATGACGAGAGAAGCGGTAATAAAATTAAGAGTTCACTGCATTCTCACTACTTGAAGAAAGATGTCATGTCTAAAGTGTCTGAAGTTTCACTTCGCCTGACAGAAGGGATGCTCGCCGGATGAACAACCCGCCGTGCACGTGAATTATGTGGGTACCATCGCGTGCACGTATGTGCACGCGATTACACGCAAATTCCTGCGGGGTCTCAAGTCGACGGAGTACGTCGGACCTTCCGAGCTTTCCGCCGATCGTTCCTCGACGATGTCGTACTCATTCGCATTCGGGATGACGTCTTTCCCCGAGAGCACCGCCACATTTTTCAGGAAAAACACTCCGACGATGACGACGACCACCTCGACGACGACGAGGACGACGACGACGGTCGCTCCGATTTTTCACCTCCGACTCGATTACGCGATCAAGCGGGACTGCCGACCGTAGCGCCTTAGCATCGTCACATTTAGGTTCGTTAGCCGTGCTAATCGATCGTGACTCGTAATCGCGAGTTTTTACCGCGATGTTTTTCCGCGTGGCGATTGCGAAAACCCGACGCGGGGAGTGGGCCAAGTAACAGACGAGCCAGACCTGCCAACCGCCTTGGCAAAAGTCCCCTTTGCTGCCCATCGAAGCTGCGCGATGGATGCTGGAGGACGATCCGTTTGATCCGATTGATTTGAGGCTTTTCCGGCTGAATTTGCAACTTGCCGATATGTGTCGAATTTGTCAAATTATTTCGATAACCACTTTCGATAACCAGCACGACGTATTAATGCTTCAATTTTAATAATTTGGACAATCGTCCAACTCGATGGAAGAGAAAAAAAAAAATGTCAATCGATCCCAATTGTAAATCAAATAAATTAAATGAAGCTTTCAGTTTTCTCTGAGAGATAATTAATAGCTGGAATAGCTTTGGATCTCTTTTTTTTTTGTGTGTGTGTTGCGAGTCACAGTGATAAATGCTACATGCGATCGGACACTTTTGTAGACAAAGTGCCGTGCGTACGTCAGATGCACTTCTACTAACCGCGGGCAATAAAACAGAAAAAATGCGCGAAGATTAAAATGTCGATTTTCTTTTCAAACTTTAAAAAATTAAAATTTAAGAGACTCGTACGAATAAATGTATATATGCATTCAACTATTTGCTACAGACTACTCGCTCGTTTTTGCGTCGTTTTTTCGACGGCGGAATCTTTCAGCTTTACTTTAGTTTTTTCCGAGGGAAATTCCGAGGGAAAGGAAATTCTACCGATTCTTGCCCATTGGCGGCATCGGCCAGCCTCAGGATGGATTTTCACGTAGCGAAAATCACAGTCGAGCCCTGCTTTCCCAGGGTGCAGTGCGCAATCGCGGCCTTATCGCTCATTGCGCGATCGCGCTAATTATACTATATTATTGGCCAGGATTGGCCGGTCGCCACGTACGTGTGTTTATTTCACAAACATCGGCCTGCACGCGCGTCGGCACCGCGACGGCGGTCGCTGAGTGCCCGTAATGCAATTCGCAACGGACGTGACATCTGATCACCCCCGTGAAATATCGTCGTCGGGAGTATAAATTTCACGTTGCGTCACGCAGCCTTTCCAACGCCTGGCGGCGTTGTTTCCACTCAAAGAGAATACTCCGGGAGAGATCGACCCCCCCCCCCCCCTCGCGATTTGTCACTGCCACTAGGGGGGGGAGGGGAGGGGGCGGGGCAACAACGAGATTCTTTTCATTAAGATGCGGAAGGAAGAGGGAAAACGTAACAAAATATAATGCCTCATCTTTTTACGTATATTAATTTAGCAACTGACTTGAAAATATCTTCCTCTCTTTCGTCCGCTTCGAGGAAAAAAATTCGGCCTTTTTCCGGAATTTGCTCCAATTTCAAGATCAAATTCCAAATTCCAAAGCAGCTTCAGCTTATTTCTTTCAGGAACAATAAAAAACTATTAAGTCTCTCGATTTATTCATGGAATATGTTGGAGATGATAGATCTTATATCTATAAGGTGAGGCCTGCAAAGAAATCTGCACAGTGTTCAATAAATTTTACATAATATTTATTATTTATAGTGTACTCAGAAATGTCGGGCCTCAACCAGTGGGCCTTCTTCTTTTGACATATTTGATCAATGAACATCACAATGTTAATTTTCCTCTAATCCGCATAATTACTTCTCGTCTCTATTAAGAGTGACGCGCAATCTGCTCGCGCTATCGCGACAAGGGCAAGCTTCAAGACGGTTTGTCCGCGTCGTACAAAATATCGTTATATACTAAATAAAACCGTGGGTGAGATGATTTGCAAACGACGAGTAAAACCGTTTTGTCGCGAGCGAATGTTAATGTAAGAAAGTTCGAACGTATCGGCGAAATTAGACGCCGATTAACGAGCGGATTGCGCCTCGCAAAAAATAGATATGTCCAGCTTCGTGTGACTCTTGGTTCTTCTCATCCACGATTTCAACATGCCAGCATATTCGTACAACAAAACATCAAATAACAACTGCATATAAAAACAAAATGAAAGGAAGAAGTCTATCTTAGCCACAACTCGTAAGTCGTAAGTTTTTTTGAATTTCGTTTTGAAGGGGGGGGGCGGCGCACATTCGACAACCAATAATATCCGACGTTAAAACACAACGTATTAATAAACATTTTTCCTTTTACGTATTACATTAGTCCTCGCAAAATTTACACAGTCGTTTTCTCGCCGTCGGGAAACATCTCGCTTTATGTTGTCCGTATATCGGGCTGACACTTGAGGAGTTCCCAAAATTGATAGGTTTTAAAAGTAGAAGATGAGGAAGGGAGAGGAAGGCCGGAGGGGGGGGGGAACGGGGGGTAGCGGGTTTTGACTTCTTTTCTTTCGTTTTTCACTCATATTAGCAGCCAACCATTCCCACTGTACACGCCTCTTTCTCTGTTTAATTCCTTTTGTCCCTTCTGAACAATGAAAAAACTAAGATACGCGCGTATCGCGTCAGAGAGCAAAACGCCATAATTAAACAACAATCGCATTTCTCGGCGCTTCTTCAGAGGCCAATTTTTTTTTACTCGTCGAATTATTTCGATTATGTCGCGTTTCGCTCTTTGACGTGACAAATTGAAAATTCTCCACGGACCAGTCGTCGATAATTCAAAATGATTGAACTGCAACAGATGCGTTTCATATATTATTTTCCGTTTCCATTAGTATCGCCTAATTGTACTTTATTATAGGACGGGAACAATCGACACAAACTTGATTTCAAGTAATTGCCGAATTGGAGTTGGAGGTCAAGAAACATTTTGAAATTAGAAGAGACAACTACGTTATCTCGTGAAAATTTTGTGTCCGTACATAGAACTCGAATATATATCTATCTGCAATAAAATATATTCTTATGACCCTTTATATATATCTACTTAAAAAATATATTATTTCCTTTGTGTTTAATCTACTCTACAAACAGATGGCACAATTTTGCATCCTTGCTACAATTCTTTATTCTGAAACAAAAAATATCCAATGTAGATTCAGTTTAGAATGTTAAATTAAAATTAAAATTGATTGAAACACGTCAATTGCTCCCTCTGCACTGTATAATGGAAACCAATTAATTATACACTAAAAGCTAATATATTAAGGATCGCACTTTTGCAATAAGCGATCAATTGTATTATTTATGTTGTTGTTCATATGTGTATTATATATGTGTGTTTACAAGTGTGTTTACACGGACTGTCTGACAAATAGTGACATATTTTCGCGTGCAAATAAAGCGGACTAAACTGAGCCAAAAATCCTCTATCATTTTGAAACTAATAAAGAATTATCTCTTAAAAAAACTGCGTAAGAGATTTAATTATTTCTTCGTATTATGAGACTAGCGCAAAGATTACGCTTGTATCATCACGAATAAGAAGGTTGCAAATTGTTGGAAATATTTTATTTCGTATTTTCTTCGGAATATTTTGTAACCAATTGAATGTTGAAGCTATATTATTATTTTGCGCATGTAATTTTCTTCATGTCACACGACAGCTGTTTATAGACATGTATATAATTGCAACACAAATTAATGGAATTTTATATTCAAGTGAAAGATACATAATGGCAGAAAATAAATAACATACATGCGCATCTGTGGTGTCACTACTTATTAAACATCGTGTACGTGTTTGTTAATAAGATATCGTTTCTATGTGCTTCCATATTTGTACAAAGTTGAACACGTGAGCTCGAATCGAATTTCGACGACTGGCCGGGAGGGGGTGCTCGCTAATAAATGGCGCGGAGGCGGCAGTGACGCGAGGATACATTTAAGTTCTCATTATATAGGAATCGTGGGGAATTCAATATCCGAAAAACTTGGTAAAAATATTAGTGTGACCTCGCGCCGCTCGACACGCTCACCCGCTTCTGGCCCACCTTAATTAATTCTCT